ACATTGGCCACATGAAGATTATCCTTCCGTATATGAGCCAACGTTGCGCAAGAACCCGAAGCAGCCGTCATCACAGACAACCTGAAATGAAACACCAAAGACATATTTTATAGAACAGTTTTCCATTTAAATTCATGAAATTTTCAGTAAACTTGAAAAATTACTTTTTCGCCGCTCTTCGCTGCGAGGCATTTCTCCCCTTGTGTAAACTGAATAGCGAACAGATAGATTCTCCAAGTGGAGACAAAGTCACTACTTACCTATCGATTTGTCCTCTATTATTTGGTAGGGCCGCTTTGCATAGGTTTTCATCGCAAGTTTCAAAAGCAAATTTGAGAGCATCACGGACTGAAATTTAATGTTGCAGTTAGATAAATAAGTAAATAAATAGATAAGTTTAAATAAATAATTAGAAAAAAAAGGAAAAGAGCAGTTCAGCAAATCACCATAACAAATCACCTGTATGAAGATCCTTGTTTTCGATGAAAGCCTTGTAGTAGTCAATAACTTGCTCCTTCTCAGAATCTCTGTAAAAAACGAAAATAATGAGCGATAGTGTTAACGATTTACACATAGGACAAATTTACTAACACGACTCAAGAGACTAACATAAACAAATTTGGCAAATGAACATCAGCGCTACTGAAAAGCCATTCAAGGCGACCGTCTGGAGGAAGAGACTTCACCTGAAAACAAAAAAAAAATGCATTTCTAAAAGATGCGATCCTTTGAGAATGAGAACATAAAATAAAATAAAATAGGATATTGTTGACATTTACCTCATGCTTTTGTAAAACTGATGCACAGATATACGGAAATAATGAGACTGACACGTGCCTGCTACACGATTGGCCACCATGTCCGTCAAAGACACCAAATAAAAATGCATTTGATGACAAACCTGAAAATTTTTTTAATCCATCGATTCATGTCCAAAAGAGTGCAGTCCAATCATCTGAACATTGTTGAGAATTACTACGCTTACAAATGAACTCTATAGTTCATGGATAAGCATATAGAGCAACGAGTGGTGAGATCTTCATCAAAACAAGCGCTGTAGCTTTTGAATTAAAAAAAGCATGG